TGGAAAGTGTTAAATAGAAATTTGACACTATGGAAAGTGTCAAATTTCTATTTAACACTTTCCATAGTGTTAAAATATTTGACTCTTATTCAGTGTTAAAATAACACATTGGTAATGTTAACATTTGACACTATACACTGGTGTTAGGTAAATTCAACACTGTTGTGTGTTAAATTTCAACTATTGAGAGTGTTATTCCAACTCGATCACAGTGTTAACTGTCTAACACTTTCAAAAGTGTTATTTTAACTCGATTCGGGGTGGACCAATATAGACACTTTGAAAGTGTTGAAATTAACTCCCTAGGAGTTGAATTAACACTTCAGAATTTGCTGTGTTTTCAACTACCTATGAAACATTTGTTTTATAGCAATTATAACATACTTTGTGACGTCATTATCCTAAATTTTAAAATAAAACAATTAAAAGCTATAACTTTCCTCCTGTGTCTTCCTCAGACATATGACACTGGAAGTGTTTGAAAGTTATTTTAAGGCTCTTTAAACCGCTTACATCGTGTTAGCATAACTCTGAACACCCTCCTAGTTGGTAAATTTGCCTTTTTGGAGTCCAAACACAAACAAACTTAACATTGATGTGCAGACCTGAACCTACCAGAAAAAAATACAACAAAACTAAATGTTGAAAGTGACTACGTTTTTTTTTTTTTTTAAGCCTTCAAAGGGGTGTAAAAGTTTAAACAGGGAGATAAGGAGGCTACTCCTTGTTCGTTAAACGGTTTCAGACGCAGCGGCACTCACCCAGCAGCGCTGCCCGGCTAGAGCTTCAGTCCTCGCACTGACCCCGCTGGACTGGACGGTGGTGCGACGGACAAAGTTCACGTTGCTTTTGTGGACATTCCCCCGCGTGACAAAACAAAAAAATAAATAAATAAAAAAAGGGAGGGGGGTAGCAGTGCGTCAGGGCATCAAAGTTGGTCGCCTCCCTCCAAAATAAAAAAAAAGGAAAAGAAAAAAAAAAAAGAGAGTGAAACTAGCAGAGCCCCGGGCGTGTTTGAAGCCGTCACTGTCTGGTGAATGCTGCCAGCAGATAGTGGAGCGAGGTCTTCCTCTCTGCGCCAACCTCTCTCGTGCTTTTCCATGACGCATGCGCACAAAGGTTTACTGGCTGACTGTAGGAGAGGAGGGTTTTTGATCAAATAAAATCCAGGACACTGTTCATCTCCATCGTATTATTATTATTATTATTACGGCTTGCCTTGGACATATTGCCTGTATGTTCGTTTATCTGTTGGCAAAATGAAACTTTCTGAACACAATCACTATTGAATCAAACTATTTCCAGTCAGCCCAGTGGCGGATCTAGGATTTTTCTGAGTAAGGGGCCATACCATAAGGGGTCACAATAATCATAGAAGGGCCAAGTCTTTGTTCAGCATCCTTTCACACAAATCCCCAGTTTTGGTAAGATGTATATACATTTAACCAGTCATACATGTTCAAACACTTGTAATGTAATGTATTCTTTAAATAGGGTACCACTTTACAATAAGGCTCCCCTTATAGATGGCTTTTAAAGAGTTTATAGATAGGTTATTAATTCATCTGTAAATACTTTATAAAGCATTAATAAGTGTTTATTGTGCATTAATTAAGATCAAAAAAGAGACTAAACTGTCTGGCTTCTTTCCAAATACTGAGCCAAATCTGTTTGTATATTAAACATTTCAGACTAGTTTACCTTGTAAGCACGATAAAGATTAGGAAATGCATATTTAAACATATAATAATGTACTGTATTACTGCATTATAAATATACATACATATTAAAGGGATCCCTATTGTACAGTGTAAAACTGTACACTGTTTTATATTGGGTTGGATTATTTGGTGTATTAACATGACTTTTTTGTTTGTTTTTTGATATATCAACATTGTTGATAGTAGTTACATGTTTGAACAATAATTTCAAACATTGATTATCAACACTAAGTTTTAAAAAAGATTTTTCACATTAAAGACTAACTTTTGGCATTTATAAATGTTTATTTGTCATTAATAAATAGTGTGTATTACAAGGACTTAAGTCTCCCTTTGACAGTTGTGAATATTTATAATGCAGTAATACAGTACAATATTAATATGTTGAAAGATGTGTTTCTTATCGTGTTTGTGCTTACAATGTAGTAACCCAGTCTGAAAYGTTTAATATACCACCTTTAGATGTAATATGTACGTGAACAGATTTGTCTCATTATTTGGTAAGAAACTGGACAGTTTCATCTTTATTTTCCTTACTTTAAAGATCAATTAGTAACCTATCTATAAACTTTTTATAAGCCTTCTATAAGGGGAGCCTTATTGTAAAGTGTGGTACCAAAAAAATTTGCACAGTAAATTCTCAGTCAATTCCCAGTTTTTCATACATTTTACTGATTGTTCAAATTTTCGTAAGAAGAGAAGAAGTATCCTTTCAGCTTGATTCATTCTGGACTTTACTTTTTGACTCATTAGCGCAACTAGTGTTTGAAAATGGAACTGCATCCACCATCATCATTCCCAGGTAAAAGACAGATGAGTGACAGGACGGGGGCACTTCAGGGGGCCAATCAGATTTCAGCTGGGGCCAATGCCCCTGTGGCCCCGCCCCTAGAACCGCCCCTGCCTGAGACAGCAAATCAACTTTGTGAAACACAAAAAAATGGCTACAAGTCAACTTGTTTTACAGATACTGAGCTAAAATTAATTTCATAGTAATTTTCCACACACACACACATATGAGCAACACGCTTCATAAGATCAGAATATTATCTCGATTTTTAAAATTTCTTTATTTATGAAGTGCAAAAGGTTTGCAGTTTTTGTGGTTGACTTGAAAATTTTTTGAACCATGAATGCAAGAAATTAACAAAATGAAACCTGAAAAAATGTTTTACTTGAAATTTAAAATCAAAAGGTAAGCTATTGTGCTTTAAATGTATTTATTTTTTAATGAGCAAATACAATGAATTTCTTGATACTAATTTAAAATAATTCACTTTTATTGTTTCAGCTTCGTTTTACATTTGTCCACCTGAACGGACTAGTCAAAAGAATCAGCAAAGTGCTTTATTTACATTGAGTAAGTACCTGCATTTCAGAAAAGCATTTTAATATATCTTAAAAGACAATTTGAGTGTTTCAAACTGCACCAGGACAACCTCTTTTGTTTGATTTCATAATTTGCAATAAGTACCTTTCTTGCCTAAACATTTTGTTTTTCAGTCATCTGTGCCACCTTTGTACTCCCCATGTTGATCATTGCTTCCTAAATTTATTAGTAACAATTTTACTGCATGTCACATCTGGCTCTTGGCACCCAATTAAGAGTCTGTTGCAAGAGGAGAGGGTTTTGCACCAGCACACATGTTCCTGAGGTGTAGCCTGAGTTCCAAAACATATGAATCCTGCTTGTCTGCATGAGAAACGTCACATTAACAGGCGTTCAGCTGCAGAGATTCATCTCTTCACACATGGTTAACTTTGGTTCAGGCAGATCCAGACACATCTAAATGCCTTGTCTGTTTATTAATAACCTGCCCAGGGCTGAAACTGATAGTTCAGGTAGTGACATGTACGCATTAATAAGCTCCTCCACATCCATGACCCACTACTAATTTGAGCCTCTGTGTCAGCCCTCTAGAGTCAGTTTTTTTTTTTTTTTTTTTTTTTTGGTTCCCATACACAACAGGCATCTGGGGAGTCTTGTTGCTGTTGGACATATGAGATAACATAGCTCAAGGACAAATCACACCTGTCAGTCTCAGTCAACATTCAGGCATTTGATCTATTTATGAAACATCACAATTCCTGAAAAGACTTTCTTTATTATCCTCGGCTGCAGAACTGCAAAGGGTGGACGAAGATGTTTTTTGTCCATGAACCACTGGGCAAATTTTAACTGAACTCTCAGGAAGTCATTATTGGACGTACATCTAGAACTTATCAGCCTTTTTGTTTTGTTTTTTGTTAACACAATTCACAATGGCTCAGTTTAAAGAACCTGTTGCACTATAATGTTTTAGTCAGCTTGTGAAAATGTTGTCCAAAACTGAAGATGTCTACTCTGTGAATGGAACAAAAAAATTTACTTTCAATCTTTTAGACATTTGCACACTTTAATGCTAGTTTAACAATATACAGTATAACCTTTCTAAGTAATTTATTCATAACAAAATTTCCACAAGTTGTATTAAACATTACAGTGTGACAGGCCTTTTACAGATATTGTGCTAAAATTTGTTGCAGTCGTAGCTGTAAGGTCATTCACAAAGTACTCTAAGGGGCTGATTCACTTAGATCCCAAATAAAGAGCACTAAATGGCTGCACAAAGTAAACAATTACATTTGCTATAAGTGGGCATTATGAAGGTGATCTATTAAGATTGGGTCTGCAAATGAGAACAGGTCTAAAAGTAGTGCAGACTGTCCTATAAAAATGAGGATTTTTGCATGTTCTACTGAGGAGACAGCCAGAGGCAAATGATCCAGGTGCAAGGAAATGCAGTGTTGTAAGGAGTTTTTCCCATACAGGCAATATAGCATGGCTTGTATTTGTGACTGGCTCCAAAGTCACATACATGTCAACATTTTCAGAGGTTTACCTATACACATTAATCTGTAAATTAAAAAGAAAGTTTGTGGTATTCTAACATGACACAACGGGGCAGGGGAGGCAGGATGTGTGCAGTCGAGCAAGGGGAAGCAGATAAGTTTGAGGCAGGAACAATACTTGCAGTCAGTTAGTCACACCCAGGGGTGGAGCCAGAGTGGTGGCTGGGGTGGCAAGTGCCACCTCTAGCACTTGACTGGCCAACCTAGGTGCCACCCCAAAACAACTGACAAGTGGGTGGTTGGGATCTTTGATGTTGCATTTAGATTTTGCAAAAGATTCTTATATTATGCTACTGTACAATGTAATTTTTTTTAGATGTGTATGTCAAAAAAAAGCTGAATTATGGTCCTTTGTAAAATTAGCATTATAGTGGTGAGCTTAATTTGGGATTAGCATTGACAATTGGCATGTGATGATTCTTACATACTCCACAACAAATTTCATATCAATAAGTCTTGAAATTGTTGGATTATAATCATTTATAGCTGTGGTGGCCATCTTGAATTTTGGATAGTATTTAGAATTTGGTAAAGATTGTTTTCGGCTACTTCTACAATAATCTTCAGCTTTGTATGTCTAAAAATGTATGAATAATACATTATGACTAGCATTTAGGATGTTATTTTATTATTCTTAGTAATGATCACACAAAATTTCATTTAGAATTTTCAAATCCAGTGTGCTTTGCTTTATTTGAATG